GGGCAGGTGGAGAAGTGGGGAGATGAGGAGCTGCAGGAGAAAAGAGAAGCTGGTCCCACAGCGCAGGCCAGCAAGCTCTTGCAGAGGATCTGGGTTCTGCCAGTGGACAACTGTGTAGATCTCCTCTCGTGTTCTGTGCTCCTGTCCTAAGGAGAATGACCAGAGGAGGAGGATGGGAAATCCCACCCTGCTCTGTGGGTGACCCTGGCAGACTGCTGCTGGATCAGCGGGCATGGATGCCACAGAGTGAAAAATGGCAGCGGCTCAGGCCCCTCATACCTCAGAGGTTAGCTTTTGGGGGTGTAACCACTGCTGGCTGTAAGTGAGCTGCTGTATCAGATACGCACTAACCCCACTCACTTGCCCTCACAGAATCGTTCCTACAGGCGAGAGGTCCTCAGGAAAGCCGACTCACCGTGCTGCTGCAGCCAGCAAAGCAGGCAGATAAGTATGTGACCCCGTCTGCCCCACAGACTGGAGTGAAGGAATCAGTTTGGCATTCACAGTTGTTATTGCAGTGGGAATATGGGTCCAGAGATGAGGTTGGAGTTGAGCTGTAAGAGAAACAGAAAGAGAAATTAACGGTCAGCGTGATGAAATCAGTCAGCTTTTCCAATCGTTGCCACACAAAGATGGCTTTGAAGGGGGGTAGTTACGGCAAACAAATTACAAAAAGCAGTGGGAAGTCTATCTGGGTCCCAGCTTTAAGAAATCCAGGCTACAGCCTCTCCTTGGGGACAGAAATGCCATGGCCACTATCCCTCTGCAACAGAGAATCTAATGCGAGGCTTGGGCTGCCTTGTTACCCCGAGAAGCCCCAAGGAAACCCAAAGAGGTGCTGTGGAGATCACTCTGTATTTTTCTAGAACAGTAACTGTGAGAAGCTGAGAGCCTGAAGCTATCTTTTAAAGAGTCACCACTGCACACTGAGGAGCACCAGAAAAGAAAATACAGAATAACTCTCTCCAAGTCCTGTGAACGCCACAGGGCACAGTGTACCTCATTTCTCCCACTAAAATGGTCCTGGAGCCATGCATACTCTCTCCTCACCATATCTGAATTTCCAGGCATCTAAAATTTGGTTCTACAGATTTCCCTCAGGCACTTAAATAAATGTACAAAGCCGTGCATGTCCCTCGCTGGCAGAAGAAACTAGACAGTGCAGTGGACCTGATGCTACGTAGGTGGGCACGTAGAATCAGGTCTGGCACCTTTTGACACAGTTTGACTGACTTTAGTAAAACTCACTCGGTCAGCTGCAGGTACTCAACTCACAGCGATGAGTGTCACGAAAACATCCCAAACTAAGAGCCCTGTACAACACTGCCTTCTACATGCTTGCTCTAAATGGCTGTCTAATGGCCTGCACCACCTGAAGGGTGCCTGTCGAGGACAATAACATGGCATTTATGTTGGTAAGGCTGTGTAAGACCCTGAAACCTTCTGAGGACTCACTTGTTTCCATAGGGAACAGTAACCCCTGCCACGGGTCCCGTGTCACATCCCAGGAACAGGAAAGACACATAGCAAGCTGTGGACACCAGGTTCACCAGCATGGCCATCCTGATGGCTCCCAGAGCAGACAGGCTGAGCTTCTTCACCAAGAGGCCACCCAGAAATATGCCCAGACATGCGCATGGGATCGCTGTCATCCCTGCAAGAGGAAAAATCAGTTAGCAAGCAGCGTGAACGAGGCTCAGTAAACCACACTATGACAGCTTTTTACTTTCCAGGGTGCTAGCATGGGGAAACCTTGTAATGACCAACTGCTGGAGTAGCACCAAGATGGGGTTGCCCAAAAAAAGAGGAACAGATGCAAATGGGTATGCTGCCTTGCACAGAGGAACTGGGATCTTCTTCCAGTTCTCATCCATATTGGAGAGAGATGCCAAAATTGCTGAGGCTGGCCCACCCTATCCTAAGCAGCAGCATCTGTAATGCTTCCTGCAACAGTTGGCAGACTAATAAAGTAAAGAATTTTCTGAGGTATCTAAAGACTATGGATGAGCCCTACTTGGTATACTTCACAGCACTCTGATCTTCGGAGATTAGGCAACAGCTACATTTGAAAATATGAAGTCTCTAAGAATCTTCTTAACTGTGAGACGCAAAATCACTGCCAGAATTGACTCACTTTCCAGGCACAGAAAGGCATTATCACACTAAGCTTGTCTGGGTTCACTTTTATCCCTTTGCTGCCAGTCATACTCCAGACCTTACCTACTCCGGGCTAAGCTTAGAAGTGCATCCAAATCCTGGCATTTCTGGACTCCTATAAATGCTGTGTGGGAAATCTGGTAGCAACTTTGTTTGAATTAAACAAGTTCTTGTGAGGACCACGGATATATCAAAGTCTCCTTTCCCACTGCTAGGTCAGAAGCAGGATGCGCTCTGGCTGACAGGTGATCCCCTCTTTGCTGACCATCCAGCTGTACTCACATGCTGACTGGTCAGGCATCTCCCACCAAACAGCATCGTGGTTTTCCTTCTCCCAGCGGGTAAAACAGTGAAGGTGCTTTCCTTTGCC